CCCACAGACAAGCAGAGAAAAGACAGAAAACTGTCAGTAATCCCACATACCAAGGAGCATCAGAGGCAGCCCCCCATACAAGGAAAAGGGGCTGATTTGGCTCAAGTTCAGGGTGAGATGGTAGAGACTAGAATGAATACAAAGCAAAGGGACAAACAGGAGCAACACAGCTTCCCAAATCCCTTCAAATCCATCCCTACTCCTCCCTGTTCCCCCGGCACAAAGCCCAGGCAGATGCCCACTAGTCTCATTCTTACCTCAAGAATCTCCAGGCTGAGCAGCTACCAAAGAAGCACCACCCGCTGGGTACATAGGAATGGCTTCAAAAGGCACTTCCCCTCCACCTTCCTACAAGTGCCAGCTGGAACCCTACTCCCTGAACAGTTCACTCTGAAAGAGACAAAGCCACACACTACCAAAGGCAGGGAGGAGAGGGACGGTCCGATAGGGGTTTAGAGCAAGTCAACAGCACTGGTTCCAAAACCCAGGTCTTCCAAGCAGGAAGAGGAGCAAGGACGGCCTGGCTGGGCCCACCCCTCACCATCTCTCTTGTCCTTAGGTTTAGAAGGGCAGCTCTGCGAGGTAGAGACCAACGAGTGTGCCTCTGCTCCTTGCCTGAACCATGCTAGCTGTCAAGACCTGCTCAATGGCTTCCTGTGCCTCTGCCTGCCTGGTGGGTGCAGATTCCAGTCCAGTCACCCTCAGTCCCAGGCATTGGAACCTCCAGGCCTATGACTCATCGGAGGCCTCTTGAAGCTCCCTTTAGCCTGGCCAAGTAGTCCCCCATTTCTCCAATTCCTTCCATGCTTCCCAAATTCTCTTCTGTCACATCCCCAAATCTTCTCTTGCTTGCTCTCCACTCTTATGTCTGTCCTGTCAAATCACCCAGACACCCCTCTTTTTCTTTCTTCTGTGTACTCTCCCTAAGTGTTAGGAGTCCCAGGCTGGTCTTGGCACTGCCACCAGAGACACAGGGAAAGCTGCTCAGGTCTTCTCCTTCTTTTCCCTGCTATGAAAATAACTACAGTTATTGACTATTTACTCCAGGCACTTGACTTTGTGCTTTTCAGGTATTATGTCATTTAACCCTTTCAGTGGTAATGTGACCCACTTCCTCACATGTACAGTACCACTGTGTTGCTGTACCACTGAGTTGCACCCCATCCTGGTCCCATTATTATATTCCCTTTTACCAAGTTGGAAACTGTAGCTGATAGGAAGGCAGGGTCTGAGCTTCACTCTTTCTGCATCGCCCTCGTGTTGCTCTATGCCCAACTATCCCGCGTCTTCTCCAGGAAACCTTGCAGGTTCACCTTTCCTGGAAAGAGGAGGCGCTGTTTTGCACTTGCACCTCTCTGGATGACCTTCACCTCCTCTCCCCATCCCACTCCCTTTCCCACCAGGATTCACTGGCACCCAGTGTGAGGAAGACATAGACGAGTGCAGAAGCAACCCCTGTACCAATGGCGGACGCTGCCAGGACCAGCCTGGAGCCTTCCATTGCGAGTGTCTCCCAGGTAAACTGGGGCTCAGACCCTGGAGTGGCAGGGAGGGGGGAAGGCAGAAGGCGTTCCCTGACACTCCCCCTGTGTCATAGGCTTTGAAGGACCACACTGTGAGACAGAGGTGGATGAGTGTCTGAGCAGCCCCTGCCCCACCGGAGCCAGCTGCCTTGATCTCCCAGGAGCTTTCTTTTGCCTCTGCCCCTCTGGCTTCACAGGTTTGCAGAAGAGACATTAGAAAGAACTGGGAGGATATTTGAGTCCATTTGGAGTGGGGCAAAGGTCATTGGTGGGTGTTTGATAGTTGAGATATGAAAATAAAATGAGAATGGCACCCCTTAAAATTATTCAGTACAAAACCTACACAACTACACAACCATGGAAACAAAGGTAGGTGTTATTGTAGGGCATACATTGGGCCCAGCACAAGTGCATGTGATCGGGAACTCAAAAGCAGGGCTTGAGGGAAGCCATTCACCTGCTTATTTAGCAAGCATTTATTACATGCCTACTGTGAGGGCTGGGGATGTGGCTCAGTAGTAATAAAGTGCTTGCGAGGCATACGTGAGTCCCTGGGTTTAATCCCCAGCACCACGAAAACATGATGAATAAATAAATAAATACTGGTAAGAGAGTTGCTGTTCTCAAGTGGCTTTAAATCTAATCTAACAAGAATTCTATTGATTGTGGCCCAATGGCCCTGAGAAAGGAATGCTCAGGGTCCTATGAGAGCACAAAGGATCAGCCAACCCAGACTGAAGGTGAGAAGGCTTCATAAAGGAGTGATGGCCAAGCTGAATCTTCAAAAACAAGTAGGGATTGTCAAACAGAATGCCAGACAGCATGTTACACCTGGAGATAACTGCACGTGTAAAGGTTCAGAGGGAACAAAAGCACACTCCATCTAAGAAACTGTATGAGATCCAAAGCTTAGGATCTAACCAGGCAAAGATGAGAAATGCATCAGTTATAGGAAGGTTATTTCACACAGGGTCCCATATAACAGGAAGTTAGACAGTATTCTGAAGTCAGTAAGGACAGGTTCATGAGGAGTGAGCAAGTCATGCATAAGACATTAAGTGGCTTTGTTTTCTCTCTGACTCTTCTCTCCACCCACCTTCAGGCCAGGACTGTGAGACTCCCTTGTGTGCCCCCAACCTGTGCCAACCTAAAAAGAAATGCCAGGATCAGAAAAATGAAGCCCACTGTCTCTGCCCCAATGGAAGCCCTGGCTGTGTGCCTACTGAAGACAACTGCACCTGCCACCACGGGCATTGCCAGAGGTAACAGATTCAGGCCCTGACATTTTGCCCCTCCTCTGGGTCCTCCTTAGCTAGGGCAGGAGAAGATAGCAAGTGAAGTATAGGTCAGTGAGAAACAGCCAATAGGGAACAGGAGAGATTGCAAAGTTTTTAAGGCAGGACAAAGGGAGGGTTCAACTGATTGGTGTTACCCAAGAAGAGGAGAGTTCATATCCAGAGAGGGAAATGGAGGACTAGAGGATCAGAGCAGAAAGAAGAATGTAAATTCCATGGTCAGTTTATCTTTCCGTAGATAACATCTTCTGAGCATCTACTTTGTGTGGACACTGTTCCAGACACTGGGGAAGCAGCCCAGAGCAAAAGAGGCAAAGTGACTGCTCTCCTGGAACTTTCATCCTAATAAGGAGACAGAGAGCTGAAGGCTTGGCTCGAGGAGAAAGTGCCTGCCTCATAAACACAAAGCCCTGAGTTCAGACTCCAGGGCAGGAAGAAAAAAAAAGACTAATGGGGAGACAGACAATAAGTAATCAACAAATTAGATAAACAGAGATAGAGAATGAATGGTGGGGGATGGGGTCAGGATGAAAAGGGGCAAGGCTGAGGGCAAAGCTGCTGAAGAAAGAGGCAAGAGTCTCAGGTCCAATCAACAGGGAGGGAGAAGACCTGGAGAAGAGACAAATTCTCTCCTTTCTCTTCATGACCAGATCCTCCTGTGTATGTGATGTGGGTTGGACAGGGCCAGAGTGTGAGGCTGAGCTGGGGGCTGCATTTCTGCACCCTGTGCCCACGGTGGGACCTGCTACCCACAGCCCTCTGGCTATAACTGCACCTGTCCCACAGGCTACACAGGTGAGGCCCTCCCTATACCATATATATCCCAGGCTATCACTGCCTAAATCAAGGGTGAGGCACATGGCTAAGGACTCTGCATCTCAGTCACCACCAAGGAAAACTGGGCATGGGCTGCAGGGGACACAGGTGATGGGGGGGGAGAAAAGAGGGTGGATGGGAGATAAAGGGAAGGGAATGCGAAGAGGAAGGAGGAAGGAGAGAAGGCGGACCGCCTTTATTAGACTTCACCTGTTTTCCTCAGGGACTACCTGTAGTGAGATGGTAACAGCTTGTCACTCAGAACCTTGTTTCAATGGTGGCTCCTGCAGCCCCAGCCCTGAGGGTTACTCCTGCACCTGCCCTCCAAGCCACACAGGGCCCCAGTGCAAAACCATCACTGATCACTGTGTGTCTGGTGAGTGCCCTTGGTATCTTGGGGTTAACCATGGGGGGGTGGAGGAACTGGGCAGAGTTCGCCATATTTCTTTTTAAGTTAACTGGATGGCAATGAGCTGATGTTTTGATGGGGATGTCTGTCCTGTATGCGGTGTGACTGAGGTCACAGGCCAAGTTACAGGCAAGGAACCCAAACCCTCACAGCCTCCTCTCTCCAGCCCCATGCCTCAATGGGGGTACCTGTGTGAACAGACCTGGCACCCCCTCCTGTCTCTGTGCCATGGGCTTCCAGGGCCCACGCTGTGAGGGAAAAATCCGCCCCAGCTGTGCAGACAGGTGAGCAGAGCACAAAGACACCTGGAAGAAAGGAGGGACCCTTCAGCCTTCCTACTCTTCCTCTCTTCTCCCTGGGCTCTAGACTGCCTCCCACTTCACACCCTTGTGCTGCCTCTTCTCCTGGTCAGCCTTCTCCCCAGTGGTTGCCTTCCCAGCACATCACACACTCCCTCCCCCTTATCCCATGAACCTTCTTCCTACTGGGATCTGTCTCTGTCTTGTCCAGCCCCTGTAGGAACAAGGCAACCTGTGAAGATGGCCCTCAGGGGCCCAGCTGCCTCTGCGCCCCTGGCTACACAGGAGGCAGCTGCCAGGTGAGGTGCAATGAGCAGGTGCGCCATGAGGGAAAGGGCTGGAGAGGTCTAGTAAGAGGGGTCTCAGAGACAAAAAGGTGCTGCAGGGAAGCTTGGGAGAGACATCCACATGAAGGGAAGTAGGGAGACATAGGAGTTGGGTGGGGGTGGGTGTTGCTTGAAGCTTGTGTGGTGTAAAGAAGGAAGGAATGGATTTCTGATCCATTCCAAAATAGGGAAATGGAAGGAAATTAGGGAGGTCACCTGGTCTAGACCATTAATAAGGGAGTTTTAGGACGAGGGATTTTGAGGAACTCTGAGCCTGGAAACTTGATGCTCTATCCTTCCTCATGCTCCCTCCCAACCCTCAGACTCTGATGGACTTATGTGCCCAGAAGCCATGCCCACACAATTTCTACTGCCTCCAGAGTGGGTCCTCCTTCCAGTGCCTGTGCCTCCAGGGATGGACAGGGCCTCTCTGCAACTTTCCACTGTCCTCCTGCCAGAAGGAAGCACTGAGCAAAGGTACCCGCCCCAGGACCAACTGAGGAGCAGTTATCACTGTCCTCCAATCCCCATTCCTCAGAGCATCCACCCTGAGAGCCAAACAGCACAGAGCAACTACAGTTATTGATTCTACAGTTCAACACCTAGAGAAGCCTAACGCAACTTCACTCCTGCCACCACAATCAACACAACTTGAGCAACACCAACAATCCCAGTCAACAAACACCATCTTAACACAACCATCAAGGACAAAACTCAATGTAGCGCCACTCAATTCTGTCATGGCTAAAACTCAGAATGGACCACGTTTAACTCAACTATACTCACCACATTTCACCCACCCATCCCCTTTGAAGTCACATCAGTCTCCTTGATATAAGAGCTCAGTAAAGAGACTACTGTGGCCTTAAGGGATGGTTGATGGAATTCCAGTGAGAAAACAACAAAATGGATGCAAAACTTAGGGGACACTAGCAAAATCACATGTTTCCACTACAAGTTTCCCTTGAGTTCTTCTTGCTTAAGACCCATTTTAAGCCAAGACAGCAGTCATATAACACCCTGATAAGCCTTTAAAAAGGTGTCATTCCCATATTATGGGAGGAGGAACTTGATGTTTTAACCTCTTCTGGGTCAGGAGTTCCTAACTCATCAGGCTCACAGGACCTCCACTTGGGAAGGTTAGTGGCTCCCAAGAAAGAAGCCTCTCTGTCAATGTCTAGGGCCCCCGAACACCCTCCCACCCCACTTAACTTCATCTCTCCTTGCTTGTCTTTCTCCTCAGACATAGAAGTCTCTGCCCTGTGTCAGAATGGAGGCCTCTGCATGGACAGAGGCTCCTCCTATTTCTGCCACTGCCCTCCAGGATTTCAAGGCAGGTTGTGCCAGGACACTGTGAACCCCTGTGAGTCTCAGCCTTGCCAACATGGAGCCACCTGTGTGGCCCAGCCCAATGGGTATCTCTGCCAGGTGAGATATCTATAGGAAGGATGGGAGAGAAGACAAGGATGGGCTGGAGATGGGACACAGTAATACTGGTGAATGAGTATCTGATGTACCAAATTCCCTTCACTTTCCTTTACCCCACACATCCAACTAACCACCAGATCTCCTAAAATATTTCTCAAATCTTCCTTTCCCCTTTACCCTGTTTCTCACTGCCTCAGTGTAGGCCTTTGTTGCATTCCACATGGATACCTCTACCAGCCTCCTAGCCACCATCATCCTTGCTTCCACACTTGTCCTTCTGTCAGTTCAGTCTTTATCCACTACCAGGGGATTCTACTGAAAATGTTAAGCTTGGACTGGAGGTGTGGTTCAAGTAGTAGAGCACCTGCTTTGCAGATGCAAAGACCTGAGTTCAAACTCCAGTTCTACTTTTTAAAAAATGTTAAGCTAATCTGTTATTTCCCTGATAAACACTTTCAGGAGCTGCCCACTTCTTTCTCAGAATAAAGTCCAAGGCTTTGCATGATCTCACCCTGCCTGCCTCTCAGGCCTCATCTGTCACCGTCCCACTGCCTGCTCCAGAAACTTAAAACCACCCTGGCCTTCTTACACCCCCATTCTGATTTTGCCTCTCAGTCTTTTCCCCTGCCATTGCCTCTGTCTAGAATGGCCTTCTCCATCTTGTTTCACTAAATGGTGACATGAAGGTGCCTGCCTCAGGAATATGTCCCAAATTTCTCTGTAGCCTAAGGATGGGTTTCTCCTTGGTAAAGTAATTGACAAAGCTGGGATTCAAGTATAAGCAGCCTGATTCCTGTGCACAAAACCACAATTTTTGGTGGAAGACACAGGCAGATTTCCTAGCCCACTGTTTACCTCACTTGTTAGTTTCATTTTTTTAACTGTTTAATTTTTTGTTTTGTTTTGTTTTTTGAGACAGACGGGGTCTCATTACGTAGCCCAGGCTGGCCTCAAACTCCCAATCCTCCTGCCTCCACTTTCCAAGTGCTGCGATTACAGTGGGATTACAGAGTGGGATTACAAAGTGGCATGTGCCACCATGCCCAGTTCTCATGAATATACAAAAGTATATTCAAACATATACAAAAATATACAAACATATACAAAAGTATACAAACATATACAAAAGTATGCTGACCAGTAGTGAACTTCTGTGCACTCATTCTCAGCTTCACATAGTTGTTCATGAAACTCCCTCCTCCAGAGGTTTCCAAAACACCTCTTCACTCATTCCCATCAAACCCCTGGTCACTCAGATTCTTTGTGAATCCACTTTTCTCCAAGTCTCCAAAGTCTTCCTGTAATCCATTCTTGCATGTTCTCCTTCCTCTTGCAAGCACCCAGCGTGTGGTACAGATCCTATCAGTGACCTTTCTCTCACTAGCAGAGTGGCATGAACCAATCAGAAAATGGTTAAGGGTTCCAGCATTCTAGAGGCAGAGGCAGGAAGATTAAGAGTTTGAGGACAGCCTGGACTATGTATGGAAACCTTGCCTGAAAAACAAGGGCTGGGGTGTAGCTCAGTGGTAGAGCACCTGCCTAGCATGCACAAGGCCTTGGGTTCAATCCCCAGTACAAGAAAGAAAAAGAAAGGGAGGAGGGAAGGAAGGAAGGAAGGTCGATCACCTTTCTGGGACTCAATTTCTTTATCTGTGAATCAAATTAGATAATCCATATAAAGTATTGTTAGAAGAGTTTTTATAAGGTTATATATATAAATCATATTATAAATGGTAATCCATTTCTCTCCTCTGGTTGACTGAGAGCGTCAAAGAAACAGCAATGAGCTCTAATTTTCCCTGTATTCCTTAATGCCTAAAACAGTATCTGGCACAACGTGGGTGTTCAGTAGATGCTTATGAATTAACTTATAAAGTATGAGAGAACCTGGTGGGTGTGCTGGTAGGGAAAAGAGGTTTTTATCAAAAATGGGGCTATGAAGCTTGGTGCCAGTGGCTCATGCCTGTAATCCTAGCTACCTGGCAGACAGAGATCAAGAAGATCATAGTTAGAAGCCAGATAAGACAAATTGTTCTCAAGACTCTATGTAGGGGGATGGAGTAAGGGAGGGGGGCGGGGGGAAAGGGAGAGAAATGACCCAAACAATGTATGCACATATGAATAAAAGAAAAAAAATTACAAAAAAAAAAAAAGACTCTATGTAGAAAATATCCAGTACAAAAAAAGGGCTGACAGAGTGGCTCCTGTCCTCAAGCATGAGGCCCTGAATTCAAACCCTAGTACCACCAAAAAAAAAAAAAAAAAAAAATGGGGCTATATTTAGTGGCACAGACATTGTTTGGACTGGGAAGGGTTAAGCCTGTGTTATTGAACTATCACATGTCATGTGGTATTGAATTAGAAAGATTGAGTAGCATGTGGCTGTTAGATGGTGAGTTGGGTGAGGCTGTGGGGCTGGAAGGTGGGGGCTGGGCAAACTATTTTGAGCTCAGCTCATCTATTGGCTTCATGTCTGACCCTTCCTGCCTGCAGTGTGCCCCAGGCTACAGTGGACAGAACTGCTCAAAGGAACTTGATGCTTGTCAGTCCCAACCATGTCACAACCATGGAACTTGCAGCCCCAAACCTGGGGGCTTCCACTGTGCCTGCCCTCCAGGCTTTGTGGGGCTGCGCTGTGAGGGGGATGTGGATGAGTGTCTAGATCAGCCCTGCCACCCCACAGGCACCGCAGCCTGCCACTCTCTGGCCAATGCCTTCTACTGCCAGTGTCTACCTGGACACACAGGTGAGGCCTGGGATAGGGGCCCAGGCATCTCTGGAGCACATTTAAGCAGACCACAGAGACCCAGACAATCCCTACCTATGAGACAGCCTAGTCCTCTTGTCTATGCCCCACCCCAGAGGAGATGCCCTTGAATCCCCTTGCCTGCATTCCCAGTGCTAGGCTGACTCCCAGGAATGAGTCAGGAGAGAGGCAAAGACTGAAGCTGTGTGTGATGTCTAATTTCACCCTTATCACAGGCCAGTGGTGTGAAGTAGAGACAGACCCCTGCCAGAGCCAGCCCTGCTCCCATGGAGGGTCCTGTGAGGTCATAGCAGGACCACCCCTAGGTTTTACCTGCCATTGCCCCAAGGTAAGTGGCCACAAAGCTGGCTTCTCTCTTGCCCCCTACATAGATACAAGGTGAGAAAGCTGGAATCCTAGAGGGCAGCATGGGGGAGCGCTGAAGTGGAAATTATTGAAGAGAGTCATCACATGTGCACAGTGGTGAGCAGTTCTCAGAAGCTCACCAGGGAGAAGATCAGGTGATAGCATGAAGGGAATATTTAGAAACTATGGGCATTGCCTACAGGAAGATCAAAAGCTCACCAAGGTTAAACTGGGTGGCCTTGGATAAGTTCTTTTAACTCTTAATGTGAATGTGGACCTCAGATCCATGGAACTGGATTAATCATAAGCCTTGGTTCATGATACACTCATATTGGTTAGTGTCCCACCTTCCTTTGTTATTCTAATTATTAGAAAAATAGTATAATAAAATTCTAATAATAATAAAATAATACGATAATTAGAATAATACAATTCTAACCCAAGAGTTACAAGATTAATAACTTACCTCTACTTATATACTCCTCTGTTCTGTTTTCCTTGGACAGGAAAAGGAAAAAAATCCTTTTTCTCAGGATTAAGTTAACACTATAATACAGTTCAAGTCTATTGAGTCTCCCAGGACTTGCATTTCGAAGCTACAGTTCACCCGTATTATTTCACACAGCTGTGATTCATCCATTTCACCACAGTGTAATATGTCATTGTGTGAAATTACCACGGGACATGGTTTCAACATCCGTAAAATGTTTAACTTAATGCTAACTGAAGGTCCCTTTTAGATATGAGAATCTAGGTCTCTCTGCACCATCTTAACCCAGGCGTTTGCTTGAAGGGAGTGGGAAGAGTAACACAAGGTCCTTCCCCATTCTCTCTCCTCCCCACCACAGGGTTTTGAAGGTCCCACCTGCAGTCACGGAGCCCCTTCCTGCGGCATTCATCACTGCCACCATGGAGGCCTATGTCTTCCCTCCCCTAAGCCAGGCTTCCCACCCCTCTGTGCCTGTCTTAGTGGCTTCGGAGACCCTGACTGTCTGACTCCCCCAGCTCCTCAAGGCTGTGGTCCCCCCTCCCCCTGCCTACACAATGGCAGCTGCACAGAGACACCTGGAATGGGGGGCCCAGGCTTTCGATGCTCCTGCCCTTCTGACTCTCCAGGGCCCCGGTGTCAGAGGCCTGGAGCAAAGGGGTGTAAGGACAAAAGTGGAGATGGGGCCTGTGATGCTGGTTGCAGTGGCCCAGGAGGAAATTGGGACGGAGGGGACTGCTCCCTGGGGGTTCCAGACCCCTGGAAGGGCTGCCCTTCCCACTCCCAGTGCTGGCTTCTCTTCCGGGATGGGCAGTGCCACCCTCAGTGTGACTCTGAAGAGTGTCTGTTTGATGGCTATGACTGTGAGACCCCTCCAGCTTGCACGTGAGCCTGAAAACCCACTGGAGCTGAGAGAATGAGGGGGTTGTTGGGGAGATAAATAGATTCCTGGGCTACAGGGTAGCTGCAGCCTCAGGCTCTAGGGAGTTTCCACCCTAATAACCATTGCTAAATAGGGGGAGAAGACTTTGGACTCCAACCTAGGAGAATGGAATGACATCAATAAAATATTGATAAGACACAGCCTTTATTTGAGCACCTATCAGAGTTTGGGACTCAGGCCTCAAGCCTCCCTCCCAAAGCTTTGTTGCCAAGGAATATCTCCCCTAGCAACCAGTACCCCTGAGGGAATGAGGAGAGCTGGGGAGGGTAGGGAGAGGACGTTCTTAAGAGACCAGTATCTATTGACACTGTTGATGTTATTACATCAAGGTTTCTGACCACCAACCAGGGCTACCCCCCTTAGCAATCAAAGGTGTAGAGGCCATGTAATGTCAGGAATTCTTTCTGGGGTGAAGAGGGAACCAGGTTTTAGGGGGTCATGAGTCCTTCTCTCCTCATTCCACAGTCCAGCCTATGACCAGTACTGCCAAGATCACTTCCACAACGGGCACTGCGAGAAAGGCTGCAACACTGCAGAATGTGGCTGGGATGGGGGTGACTGCAGGTCCGAAGATGGGAACTCAGAGTGGGGGCCCTCCCTGGCCCTGCTGGTGGTGCTGAGTCCCCCAGCCCTAGACCAGCAACTGCTTGCCCTGGCCCGGGTGCTGTCCCTGACTCTGAGGGTGGGGCTCTGGGTGAGAAAGGATAGTGATGGCAAAGATATGGTGTTCCCCTATCCTGGAGCACGGGCTGAAGAGGAGCTAGGAAGAACTTGGGACCTCTCTCATCAGAAGAGAGCAGCCCCTCACACCCAGCCCCTGGGCAAAGAGACAGACTCTGTCAACGCTGGGTAAGAAGAGGGGCGGGGGTTGATGCTAATTTTTCTAATGGAGCAGAGGAAAGGAAGTCAGGGACTAATACAGAGATCTCTGGGATGCCTTTCCCACAGGTTTGTTGTGGTTATGGGTGTGGATTTGTCCCACTGTGGCCCTGACCACCCCACATCCCGTTGTCCCTGGGACTCTGGACTCCTGCTCCGCTTCCTTGCTGCAATGACTGCAGTGGGGGCCCTGGAGCCCCTGCTGCCTGGACCCCTGCTGGCTGCTCACCCATATGCAGGCACTGGTAGGTGACCCTTCCACTCCCCCTGACTTCTGCTCTCATGCCAGCATGACATCTCTCATAGATCTCATAGAGATAGAATGAAACAGGATAGCTCGATCTCAAAATGTTCTTTATGGGGAATTACCCTCAACACCTTTCTCTGACTCAATCCCTCATGACCCATTGGTTTTGTAGTCTCCCTCCTTAGTGGCCTAAGTACTTCATGTTAACCTCTGACATAACCCTCCAACAAACCTTGGGTTCTGGCTTATCTTCTTTACTAGACAAAGGTATTTGAGTCATCTCTGTATCAAACAGTTCATAGAACATGAAAGAAAAATAACTGTCATATTGTGCTGCCTATATGCTTTGCTGTAAGCAGCATTTTACAGTTAAACTTATTTAACCCTCTATGAGGCAGGTGCTATTATCCTCACTTCACAGATGAAGAAATTGAGGCAGGGAGGTTACTACACTCAACCAAAGGCCTCATGGTAATAACCAATTTCACCAGGAATGGCCTCTCTTTGTAACTGTGTCTCTCCTACCAGCACCCCCTGCCAACCAGCTTCCCTGGCCTGTGCTGTGCTCCCCAGTAGCTGGGGTACTTCTCCTGGCCCTGGGAGCTCTTTTTGTTCTCCAGCTCATCCGGCGTCGACGACGTGAGCATGGGGCCCTCTGGCTGCCTCCAGGGTTCACACGAAGGCCTCGGAGTCAACAGGCCCCCCGCCGCCGCAGGCCCCCACTAGGAGAGGACAGCATCGGCCTCAAGTGAGCGTGAGGAGAGCCCTGGGCTCAGGGAGGGAATCTTTCCTGTGATGATATTTATGACCAGAAGCAATAAGAAATACTATTGCATATATTGAAAGTAGGGAAAGAAGAGGGATAGGAAGGAAATCTTGGAGACCTTGACTGGTCTAAACTTGTGTAACTTCTACCCACTCATCCCCTTTCAGGGCACTGAAACCAGAGGCAGAGACTGAAGAGGATGGAGTGGTGATGTGCTCAGGCCCTGAGGAGGGAGAGGAGGTGGGCCAGGTGAAAGGGATGAGGCAGGAATGATGAGCTGATGGAGGAGATGACAGGACAAGTCAATGGCCTTCACTGATCTTTGCTCTTACCCCAAGGCTGAAGAAATGACCCCACCCTCCAAGTGCCAGCTTTGGCCACTGAATGGTGGCTGTGGGGAGCTCCCTCAGGTAGCCATGCTGACCCCTCCTCAAGAGTCTGAGATAGAAGCCCCTGACGTGGACACCTGTGGACCTGGTATGTGAGGCAACCTAGACCAACAAAATGAAAAAAAAACTTTTGATCCTCTACAATCATAAAGTATCAGATCTGGATGAACTAATGTTGTTAGTGCCTTAGAACAGTGGTTCTCAAAGTATGGTCCCCAGACAGTAGATCAGCATCACCTGGGGATTTGTTAGGAATGAAAATTTTCAGGCTCCACTAGAGAGCTATTAATTCAGAAATTTGGGATGTTGAGCAATCTGTTTTAACAAGCCCTCCAGATGAGTGTGATTTAGACTTAAGTTTGAGAATCACTGCACTAGAATGTTAGAGAATTAAGGCTTTCTTACTTCTTTGGATGAGGAACTGAAGCTGGGGAAGCAGGAGGTAGAAAAGACACTGAAGACAAAAAAAGTCAAGAGCTAGCACTTTCAAAGTGTGGTGATACAAGCCTCTAATTTCAGCACTCAGGAGGCATAGGCAGGAGACTGGTGAGTTCAAGGCTAGTATGGGTTACATGACAAGCTGCAGGTCAGCCTGAGCTATATGGTAGAGCCAGAACTTTGCTTCCTGACACCTCAGCTATGAATGAGTCTCCCTGAGTCTCCATTGTTCTCTCTCCCTTGTGTGCTTCTGATTGACCCATTACTCATTCTCACTCACAGATGGGGTGACACCCCTGATGTCAAAAGTGTGCTGTGGGGGAGTAGACTCCGGGACCTTCCAGGGGCCATGGTTGGGAAGACCTGAGCCCTGGGAACCTCTGCTGGATAAAGGGGCCTGTCCCCAGACTCACACTGTGGGCACTGGAGAGACCCCTCTGCACTTGGCAGCCAGATTCTCCAGGCCAACTGCTGCCCGCCGCCTCCTTGAGGCTGGAGCCAACCCCAATCAGCCAGACCGGGCAGGGCGCACCCCACTTCACACTGCTGTGGCTGCTGATGCTCAGGAGGTCTGTCAGGTCAGTGCACACTGGGGTCCCTACAGAGAACAGGGTGAGCTTACAAATAAAACTGGGCAAAGAGGTTTGACAAAGAGCAAACTGATGTGAGATTAAGGACCTGGAAAGATAAAACAAATGGAAGATGACTGTGTGTTGGTGAGTTAAAAAGTGTGAGGAGGCTAATCTAGCAGTCAGGGTATCCCTGGGCTCACAGGTCTTCTCTATACCCACAGCTGCTACTGAGCAGCAGACAGACTTCGGTGGATGCACGCACAGAGGACGGAACCACACCCTTGATGCTGGCTGCCAGGCTGGCAGTGGAGGACCTGGTTGAAGAATTAATTGCAGCTGGAGCAGACGTGGGGGCCAGAGATAAACGGGGTACGGATTAGGGGGGTGTGCTATAAAGATGAGCAGTTGGGATGTGGGATGATGTGCAAAATATAGGGGCAGCAGAGAGACCAAACCGGAGGCTGGGGCATTCCCTCCTGCCCTGCTGTCAGAGTGGTAAATCTGCTGTACGGTGTCAGAATGAAGCTCGTGAGTCTCCCCCCCATCATTCTCAACACAGATACTGCCCCAGCCCACAGGGAAGTGGGAATGGAGTACGGTATCTGTGGGAAGAGAAACCAGGTCCCACCGACCCAGAACAATACCCATTGTCCCTCCCGCGCGCCTGTGACGTCACCAGAACAACGCTTCCGACCGGCTGGCGGTCGCCGGGGCAACACTTCCCGTCTTTGAGGAACCGGAGTAGCCCTTCCCCCAGAGCCAGAATCCGTGGGAAACCGGAACCCAGGAGTCTGGCGCGTCGCGGAGTAACAACCTCCCACATTGTCCCCTAGGAAAAACCGCGCTGCATTGGGCCGCTGCTGTCAACAACGCCCGAGCCGCTCGCTCCCTTCTCCAGGCTGGAGCAGATAAAGATGCCCAGGACAGCAGGGTCAGACTGGGCAGCAGGCTATCCACAAAAAAAA